AGAAGAAAAGCACATGACAGAGGGAAAGCTGGCTAGAATTGTTAGGTGGAGTCCATTTGTGGGAGTTTTTTTCCCTTAAAGATAATTTTGGATTTAGTCTTTTAAACATAGAAGTGGAAACCGATGGTTAGGTGTTTTATTTTCATTTGTCACACTAATCGAATTATTTTAATTTATTAGAGTGTTACGTGGCGATCGACTTAGAAGCGTTTATGGGTGTACCATTAGGCCCATACATTCGTAGTTAGAATGGCTGCATGATCTAATTTTAGATAACAAAATATGAGCAATATGAATTTTAATTTTGATTTTTGGTTATAAATAACACAACAACTGACAAAAATATAGAACAACACTGTAGCTTGAGAGTTATGATTATTTAGATGTCCGAATTACTTTTTGATAAATTGAGTGTTAATTAGAAAATATGATAAGTTAGCTAGAAAATAGGAGAGATGGGGGGATTCGGAGGAAGAAGATTAATGTATTGCGGTTTTTATTACCTCATGTACATAAGGTGTTGGCGGTGGGGATACCAGATTTATTTTCTTTGAGATGGAGATCTAATGGTTAAAATTAACCGGTCCACCGATTTAAAAGAGAATTGACGGTGTGATTATATAATGCCACGTGGTGATCTAGGATCATTTGTAGGAGGCCATGTGGTGGCCGGAAAGCGTTTATAGAAAGTTTAATTGGCTTTTAGTATATAAGTCCATTAAACTTCCTACAAATGCTCTTAAGCCGCCACGTGCCACTCATATAAACGCTCGTAGGTTACCACTTGTCATATCTCTTAATTTAAAGAAATATTAAAAATTATAAGAATAAAAACCTAAACGCCGATTTTCACTTAAATCGATAACATGTGATTTTATATCTATTAACACTCCCTCCTAAACACTCTCGTATGTGTAGGTACCATATGTGTAGTAGTACTGTTTGCCAAAGGTGTTAAGGAAAAATACTGTTTGTTAAAAAAAGGCAAAAAAAATTAATACTAACGTAGTAACGTTTGTACGCTACCCTGATCCTCACCTCTTGTCCTGTTATGGTGTTCTCCTCTTATTTTTTTTCTATATACTAGGAAAAATACTCGTGCGTTACAACAGGTAAAGTCTATTTTAATCTTATTATTACTATATGGTATAGTTAAGATAAAATTCACTATAGGGGTTCGCTTGGATATATATATTTATAGAAAATCATGAGCTAGAGGAAGGAGTCCGATCGTATCAAGTTAGCATGTCAGTGTTTTAAACATATTTTTTATATGATTCTTTCTGTATTACCAAAAGTGAACGATCTTAAAAACCGACTCAAGTATACCGACTTAAGTACGGATATATATTTTCAAAAGCAAACGAACTTAAAAACAGACTCATATACGGATCACGTACCAAAATACCAGCAAAATATCTTCAAATTTTATAATAGTAGAGATTAGTTAAAGCAAACACGGATTTTTTTCAAAAGAAGTGGGGTACAAGATTTAGTATTTTTTAATGGAGATCTAATGGTTAAAATTAATGTGTCTACTGATTTTAAAGAAAATCGATAGTGAGACTGTAGAATGTCACGTGATGACCTAGAAACATTTGTAGCAAGACACGTGGCAACATGAGAATATTTATAGGAAGTTTAATGGAATTTTAGTATATAATAGATTTCAGCCTTTTTTCACCATTTTATTGTTAACTCTCTCTGTCTTTCTTTCCCTCGCTCTCTCTCATGTGTAACAGTGTAAGTATCTCTCAGTATTTTTTTTCGTTTCTTTTTTTTCCTTTATTATTATTTTTTTGGAGGAGTGTCTCAATTTCATGTGACTTCCATCTATTGGTTTCCCATCCAATTGGTTCTCATCACTTAGATAAATTGAAGTAAAACCATAGTATATATTATTCTAGACTACAAAAACTACGAATTTCATGAAAGAAACTTATGATTCATAAATGTTTACAAAACTGCATAAAAAATATTCATACTTGGATAAATTAAAGTAAAACCATAGTATATATGACCAAAATTGTAGTTAAAAAGAAATAAAATTGCACATTGCATATTAATATAATTTTAGGCAATTTTAGGTGTTTCAAACTTTACAGGCACCTAAAATTTAGCTATACACTAGAGAAAGTATAGTACTACTTCTGCCCGAAATATATCAACCTACTATTGAATGAAACACATACTTCTTCCGTCCCAAAATATAATAACTTATCCATCAACATTCTCTTTCCAACCAATCACAACCCTCCACCATTTACTTTTCCCACCTACCTCCACTTCTCATCCAATCACAACCCTTCACCACTCACTTCTATCTACTTTTTCTTAATAACTGTGTCTAACCCTAAAACTTATTATATTTTGGAACGAAGGAAGTACTATTAAGATTCATAGTACTGGTATGTGTTTCATTTAGTATTTTAGGACATAGATAGTATGAATAAACCTACTAGGACAGACCAGTGCTTGTTTGTCACACAGTGTAGTTGACTAGTTGTAAAAGAAACGCTACATATTAACGGAGGAATTTTGATGTGGATATTTTTTTTTAGATAATGGATTATATTAACCCGGTCTCTACACCTTAGAAAGGTGTACACAGCCCAAACCACAATTAAGAATACATAAGACTCCACTCATTACTTGGGATACCAAATAATAGTTTAATAAAACGGTTAAAAAAAGCCTAAGCTTCAATTCTTCTTCTAAAATTCCAACCAAAGGTAGAAAATAACTCCATCACTCTCTTCTCCAGAAAACTGTATTTGGCTTCAACTTCCTCTCCCTCATCTTCTTTAAGAAGCAAAGACCAAAGCCTTGCACAATGAGTTGCTATGAAAATCACCTGCAACAAAGATATGCGATTGTGACCGTTAAAGACCATGTCATTCCTAGTGAGCCACAAAGCCCAACAAATTATCGCTATACCAACCTACATTTGTCTTTTGAGTCTAGGTTCAACACCATGCAACAAATTCCCAAACATGTCAGTAGTGTTACGGGGTTATCTAATTCCGAAGGTGAAAAACAACGTAGTCCATATGTATCTAGCAAAAACACAATCTAGGAAGAGGTGTTGAATCGACTCTTTAGAGATACAAAAGCTGCATAATAAGCTACCCTTCCACCTTCTCTTAGCTAGATTATCCTTTGTTAGAATCACCCCTTTATTTAGATACCATAGGAAAATCTTAATTTTTAGTGGAATTCTTAGTTTTCAAATTATCGATTTTCCAGGTATTTCTCCATTCAACATTAGAATCTTATACATAGGGCCTGTATGGATCCGGAGGGCTATTTAATAGCCCTCCGGAATCTTGTTATTTAGGAGTATTAAACGTTGATTACTGACAAAACCTATTCCATAACCCCTAGACTATTTTGCGAGATGAATCTAACGAGGTATATTAATCCATGATTTGCTACAGTAATCATTCGCTAATCATGGATTAATATACCTCGTTAGATTCGTCTCGCAAAATAGCCAAGGGGTTATGGAATAGGTTTTGTCAGTAATCTACGTTTAATACTTCTAAATAACAAGATTCTGGAGGGATATTTAATAGCTTAAAGGATCCAAACAAGCCCATAGAACTTACGGTAAAAAAACCCTCCTTTGTTAGCTTTCCAAATGAATTGATATATTCAGGACTGGCACATCATATCACACTGGTAGTAGTCGGTGATATGCCAAATTCAGGACTGGCACACATCATATCACACTGGTATACTAGTCTGGTAGCTCTTCGACCACTGCACCGCCACTCTTCTGGGCATCACCAATATATATATATATATATATATATATATATATATATATATGATAAAAGTAGTCTATATAGATGGGACCCACATAAATAAACTTTAACTATAGCAATCCTCATAATGTATATGGATACAAGGTGACATTAGGAGAAGAGAGAGAAGTAGAGATAGATAATATTATTTATCTCATATGGGTAGTCCATATACATATGGATACCTTTTGCTATTTTCTTTATATGGATTAGTTGTACAATGTTACTAGGTGGCTAAATAGAATAGTTTATTCCCTATGGACTACTTTTGTAGTACATTATGGATGCCCTAAGATGCTACTCATTCGTTCCACAATATAAGGGATTTTGAGTTTTTGCTTGCAACGTTTGACCACTCGTCTTATTAAAATTTTTTTGCAAATATAAAAAACGAAAAGTTGTGCTTAAAGTACTGTAGATAATAAAGTAAGTCACAAATAAAATAAATAATAATTTCAAAAAATTTTGAATAAGATGAGTGGTCAAACATTTCTTATTTCTTATGGGACGGAGGGAGTACTATAGTAGATTTCAAAGGAGGATATATGTGAAGGCCCGGGATAATCGATGAAAAAAAAGTAAAAGAAAAAAAAACAGCTGTTGAGCTTAGTGGGCTGTTTGGGCTGGTTATATCGTGGGCGGCAGTAGCAGCGGTTGCCCGGCCTATGCAAGTTGCAGCAGCAGCAGCAGAGCGAGCAAGCGAGGCAGCGAGCAGCAGCAGCAGCGCGCAGTTACCGTTGCTTGGAGAATGGAGAGTGACTGGTTTATAAGGCGGCTTGCCCCGTGACTGTTAACACTGAGTTTGAACTTATCGTTTTGCAGTGAGTTAGGTCCAATATTGTTTTTGGCCCTACAGTCGAACACACAATGCAATGTTCTCGTGTTGTTTAAGTTTTCACGAAGTGGTTGAGCATTTCCAAGACATTAATTAACTTTATACAATTGGACATGAATATATAATAGTATAACAGCAGAACGAACCATGTAAAATAGAGCAGAAACCCACAACAATTCTTGCTCAAATTAATACTCCCTCATTCCCTATGACGCCGTTGGCTTTTTTAAACATGTTTGACCGTTCGTCTTATTCAAAAATTTTTGTGAAATGTGTAAAACTATATGTATACGTAAAAGTATACTTAACAATAAATCAAATGATAGAAAAAGAATTAATAATTACTTAAATTTTTTGAATAAGACGAACGGTCAAACATTTTTTAAAAAGTCAACGGCGTCAAACATTTTGGGATAGAGGGAGTATTTTGGGCTTCTGCTCCAAAATATTGCTTCCAGACACTACTATGTCATCACACCACAAAGCTACTACATTTTAGAGACAATAGAAGTGTATACTCCCTCCGTCCTATAAAAAAACGAATCTAGTATCAGATATGAAATATTCTAGTACAATGAATCTAGATATATGGATGTCCAGATTTGTAGTTCTGTATAACTAGATTTTAACCAGATCAATTACCGAGCTAGCTACCCTCTACTCATCGAGACTAAGGAGGTCGAGCGCCTCCTGGAGGTTGGCTACGACCTCCGTCATGGGCGGACGCTCCTTCCCCTGTGAATGCACGCAGCGTACTGCCGTCCGCGCCACCACCTCTGTCGCCTTTAGCTGCCTTGGCGTTGGCTTCAGCCCTGGGCCCCTATCGAGCTCCTTCATCAAATCCCCAGCCTCCATGTTTGGCAGCACGGATGCAACCAAGCTTGTGGCAACAACGGCGCCGTGCTTCTCGTCGTGAATTGCCTTCTTCCCCGTCAGAAGCTCTAGCATCACGACGCCGAAGCTGTACACGTCGCTCGCCGGCGTCAGGTTCCCCGTGCTCAGGTACTCGGGGTCCATGTACTCGAACGTGCCTAAGATAGGCATCTCGGCCGTACACTCTACCTCGTCGCAGCTTACCGCCAAGCCGAAGTCCGACAAGCGAGGGGCGTAGCTGGAGTCGAGCAGGATGTTGGACAGCTTGACGTCCCGGTGGATCACCGGCGGCACGGCGTGGGAGTGAAGGTGCTCGATGGCCCGCGACACGCCTACTAGTATCTCGATGCGCGTCTTCCACGATGTGGTCACCAGTGATGATGCTCCATCTGATCCGTGGAGGTGATCGTAGAGCGTGCCGTTGTCGATGTACTCGTAGACAAGGAGGCAGTCCTCGTCCTCAGCCGACGACGTCGTCGTCGCCGCCGCAACGCAGCAGCCAAGGAGGCGGACGATGTGGTCGTGGCGGAGCGGGGAGAGGATTGCGAGCTCCCTCAGGAAATCCCCCTTCCTGCGCGGAGATGCGCGTCTGATGGCCACCTCGCGCCGGTCGGGAAGCCTTCCCTTGTACATCATCATGCCAAAGCTGCGGCCTTCACCGATCTGCCTGTCCACGGCGAAGTTGTTGGTCGCCATCGCGAGCTGTGGCATGGTGAATTTCTCGCATTCGCCGTCCCCATGGAGTACCTAATATAAATAACACAAAAGCACAGAGTAGTGATGAGTTTCATCAAAAATAAGGAAGAGGTAGCTAGCTTGATCTACGATTCCTCTACCAGCCGTCGTTGAAGCAGGGACTGGGAGTCTGCAGAGGGAGATGCCATGGTCCTGCAATCGCCGTCGCCGGTTGAAATGAGCATTCTGTGGATCTGGTCGAGGCAGTGGATGATGTCGATGTGGCTGATGAGCGGGAGGAAGAGGAGGTAGGAGTCGATCCTAGCCTGCACGCTCCTGATCTTGTCAGCCAGCCGCCCCGCCATCACGAACCGGTAGGTTGGGCCCTTGTGCTGGCAGCAAGTCACGAGCTGGTGAGCCTCCCGGAGCGTGTCCTCGAGCAAGGCCAGCGGCCGCAGGACCTCCGGCCGCCGCACCACCTCCGGGTGTTGCAGGTGCGGCAGCAGGTCGTAGATCATGGACGCGCGGACGGCGAGCTGCTCGCACTCCGCCTTGTTCCGGCGAGCCGTCGCGGCCGCCTGGATGATCTTGGAGATGAGCCCCCCGAGGTCCGCCCCGACCAGCTGCGCCACCGTTGCCGCGTTCCCCAGCTCCCCCCACATCTTGCAAACTCTCTCGAGGATTAACTAACTAATTTGCGTGCTGGCCGTCCTAGATACTTTTATACGGGGAAGAAACGCAGGATGTAGAGGATTGACGAGGAAGACGCAGAGGCTGGCACGTGGAGAGGAAAAAAAATGAAAAATCCCGCGCATCTAGCACGTGGAGAGGAAAAAACATGAGGCTCGAGACTTGAGAGTTCAGACGGCAACCAAGTGCTGTCGGCACCGCTGGTTGAGCGAGATGAAGAAAAGAGACGCGTTGCCGCAGCGTCGACGCAGAGGGCGGCGGCGGCGACGACGACGAGACGGTCGTGTTGTCGTTCGATCGGCGACGCCGCTCGAGTTTGACTAGTGGGTCCCGGTAGGAGCGTAGGAGGGCGCGACGGTGCACCGTGTACGTGCAGAGTGCAGAATATGTGTGGTCCTCGATCGGGATGCCTATATTCACGAGCCTCACTATATGTGACACGTGCAGAACGTGCGTACTTTACCAGTAGTAGAAAATAATCTAAAATGTTGATCTCATTGGTTCAAATCTAATTATACTACTACTTCAGTTTCAGTTAGCGGTAGTAGAAATATGAACAAGCATTATTATAAAAAAATAGGTGTGAAGTGGTATAATCGTCATTTAAGTGGTGACAACTTTTTTTCTCTTCTTCACTACCTCCATTTCATTTTAATTCTAGTTGTGGGTTTCCGTGTACAACGTTGGACTGGCCGTCTTATTTGAAAAAAAATAATCACACATAAAGTACTATTTATGTTTTATCATCTAATAACAACAAAAATACTAATATTAAAAAATTTCAAATAATACGGAGAGTCACGTTAGACATAAACAATGCAAAACTACAGTATTTATAGGATGGAGGTAGTAGCTTTTTCGATGAAATATAAGCGATGTCAGCGCAATGGATGGTCATAGATTGTATTAACAAATTACTTTTTTCCCCTAATAATTTGGTAGTATAATACTACGGGCCTGTTTAGATCCCACCCAAAATTTTACACCATATCACAAACGAACGTTTAAACATCTGCATGAAGTATTAAATATAGGCTAAAAAAATTACTAATCGTACAGATTATGATTAATTTGCGAGACGAATCTTTTAAGCATAATTGCTCTATGATTTGACAATGTGGTGCTGCAGTAAATATCTACTAATGATGGATTAATTAGGCTTAATAAATTCGTCTCGTAATTTAATGATAAATTCTATAATTAGTTTTTTTATTAGTACCCAAACACCTTATAAAACACCCTATATAATATTCGATACGACACACCAAAATTTTACGCTCCTACATTTAGACACCCAGAGAGCACCGGAGCTCAATTGCTGCGAAGCATATCTCACGAGCATATATTCTCTGTTTGGTGATAACGCGCGGGCGTCCGCCGACCGAGAGGGTGTCAAGTGTGAACAGTTTCGCACATTTTGACTGGAGTCAACCCACCTGTCATTTGTCACATGTTTGGTTCGAATGTGGTAACGCAAATACTAAAGGTAAATATTCGGTCGTAGCTGATACCATTGTATCCAATTACGTGATTTGTTTGGTTACGTAACAACTTTTTTTTTTACACTAGTTAGGTACTATAGCACGAAACAGTACATCGAATATTTTTTAATATGTTTTAAGTAGAAAGTGTGTCAACAGATGCATGTTGCACCATAAAGTACATCCAAAAATATTTGTGCAGCAATTCACGGGAAATGGGTAAAATGCCCTATTTTAGAAAATTTTCCCAAAGCTTTCTACACATCATTTTCTCACAAATGATCAACACCCAAACTCTTTGAACATGGCTCTAAAGATGAACCACACTCGCTTCGTTGTGCAAAACACAACTGCATAGGAGGCAGTTAGCACATATGCCCGTACTGATCCAGCTCACAGAAACTGCGAAACTGCACGATCTATTATATACGTCTCCTTTGGAAAAATAATATGACAATCCTATTTGTTTTTTAGAGAAGGGTATTTTTTACCCGGTTTCCACATCCAAATGGATATATGTAGCCTAATTAGAAACTTAGCCTGAAATTCGCTCCTACAGAGATTTGAACTTAGGACCTTAGAGTGCTACTCATATCACTGCAACCACTAAGCTACATGCCATTTCACAATATGACAATCCCATAGAAGTGGAGAAAAAAATAATTATAAATAATATATGTAAGAAACAAATTATATTTTTGGTCATTTACATAGTAGGTGGCACGGAAATATATAAGAATGCGTAAAACAATTTATATTGATGTGTATATAATCGGATGTTCCGAAATATATAAAAATGTGTACATAATCAGATGGTGGAAAGGGCGTACTTGCAGCAGATCATCTTCAACTCATTGTACTTGAGCACGCGGACGAGGAGGTTGCAGTATTGCACAACCAATTTCTTGATGCACTGCCTATGTACTTTTTTATCTCTCTGAGAAGGCCATGCAAAAGCTCGGCCCTAATTGCACTCATGAGAAAAGGGCAAGGTAACCAATGATGAACCCATAGCTCCTCAAGATATTTATGGAGACATGTCTAGCGATAATTCAAATATAGTAGCTGGTAATTCTCTAATATCATCTAGTCTTCAATTTGGAGCTATTTATTTTGATGAGAAATATGGTAAAAATATGGAGAAATTTACTAGCGCTGGTCTATCATCAAATATATTTTTTAGAATCACTAATAAACAATATCCTTATTTTTTAGAAGATCAGAAAGTAAATTATACTCATAATAATAGTTCAGTTGTTCAGTAATTTATCTCCAAGATTCAGTCTCAATATATTTCACAATATTCTATTTAAGAGCAATGAAATAGAATATTCAATGTTCTACAGTTATACTCCGTATTATATATAGCACATAGGAGCAGGTGATGCATAGTTAATTAATGTCTTTCCTATTAAGTTATTAGAAAGTTTAACAAAAGAATAGTGGAAACTGGTAAAGGGTTTCATGGATAATGCACCAATTAAAAAAAACTCGAAGTCATCTGATACCTTGCCTGAATTGGAAATCAAATCAAACACTGCTTCTTGTTGCTTAACTGTAAAATATAGGCTTCTGTCAGCCTTTTGACCCAAGGAATCCAAGTAAGACCTTGTTTAGGTGACGTTTAGATCCAATGGTGTAAAATTTTAACGTGTCATATCGAATATTATATAGGATGTTACATGTGGTGTTTAGGTACTAATAAAAAAACTAATTACAGAATCCGTCAGTAAACCGCAAGACGAATTTATTGAGCCTAATTAATCTGTCATTAGCACATGTGGGTTACTGTAGCACTTATGACTAATCATGGAGTAATTAGGCCTAAAAGATTCATCTCATGATTTCCATGCAAACTGTACAATTAGTTTTTTTATTTATTTTTAATGCTCTATGCATATGTGCAAAGATTTGATGTGACTTTTTAGAAAAAAAAATTTTGGGGAACTAAGGCCCTATTTAGATCCCACACAAAAATTTTACACCCTGTCACATCAAACGTTTGAATATCTGCATGAAGTATTAAATATAGTCTAAAAAATAACTAATTGCACAGATTGCAACAAATTTGCAAGACGAATCTTTTGAGCCTAATTGCTCCATGATTTGATAATAGGGTGCTACAGTAAATATTTGCTTATGACGGATTAATTAGGCTTAATCAATTTGTCTCGTGGTTTCCAGGCGAGTTATGAAATTAGTTTTTTCATTCGTGTCCGAAAACCCTTTCTGATATCCGGTCAAACATCCGATGTGACACCCAAAAAATTTCTTTTCGCGAACTAAACACACCCTAAGAGGAAATTATGTATATGTAGGTCCTGATAACAATCCGGCCCAGGTGGGGTTGGCCGAGGCCCAATAACTTAAGGTTGCCCGAACCCCAACGGTTCTTTGACACACCCACTCAGGGAAAGGCCCAATCTCCCTAAAAGACTAGTCCAATAGGGGAATGGTGGCTCTTCCTTTTAAGGTGGCTTCCTCCTTCCAAGCTAAGCAATGTGGGATTATTCAGAGGCTCACACGGTCGCCGCCCGACTTTAGCGTCTTTGCCAGCGGGTAATAGTGGAGTATGTCCTTATCATTCCCACCCCCTTAACAAGGGTCCAGCTCTGATACCAAATGATGAACCCTGAGCTCCACTCGAGACACTCAAGGCTGTTGTTGGCCCGTTCTTTCGGTGAGTTGATGATAACTATGATTTGGGAGAAACGTTGACGACCCGACTACAACCGTACGAGACGTTGTTGTGTTGCGCCTTAGCGATCGATACACCTCTCCGTGGGTTGTTGATCTTGCCGGTGCAGATCAACCTTATTCCTGCAAGCAAATCGAAGCAACAAGCAAGAACAAGATAAAAGCAATCTAAATTGCATATAGGAATTGAATACAAATGATAGGTTGGGGTTCCGTAACGAGTAAACCGGCGATCTAACCGATCACGGGATTACACGGCAAAGTAGCAAAGCTAAACTTTAATCTAAACAAAACCCGTGAAACTCTAAAGGGGTACCTAACTATTTATAAAGGTGTGAGGACGACCAAGTGGACTCTAGGGTCGTGCTCCACCTGGTTGGGGCGCACCCCACATGGGCCCCACTTGGGCCGGGGTCCCAAACGAAGTTACAAGCCCAAAGGCCTATGACAGGTGACGCAGCACTTTGTTTTTGTGTTTGCGGCCAAACAAGATGGAGTCTGGTGATGAGGCTGGATCCGTTGGAAAGAGGACTCCGAGAGCTTTCCATCAAGTACTCATGGGTCGAAATTGGAGGTCGTATGCAGATTCGGTAGCCGTTTGAAGTCAGCAGTGTAGCAGGTGGCCGAATCGGATTCTAGCACTTGGAGGACTTGAACTTGATATCTTGTTGTTCATCCATGATGTGAGCAATGGATGTATCCGTAGTAGCCATGGTCACATCATCCTCCCCTTCTTCACGGAAAACCGTCCTCGGTTTTTCCATATGGTGTTGTTCACGTAGTCCATTTTGAACAACCTGTTTTTTCCAATCAAAACAAGACAAACTCG